AAGCAAGAGCCAGCTCGACTGACGGACACAATTGCTGTTCACAACGAATTGGTCTAGTGAAGTGATTGCTGGCGGAGAATGAAACGCAGATGGGCAAATACGACGCCATGAATAATGGGCTATCTCGAATGAACATGAAAACAGGAAATGGGCTCAATGTTTTAAATGGTCAAGAAGTGGAAATATTTTTCTCTGATGTTGCAGAGGCCTTGCTTCTTTTGTCTCTATAGTCAGCCTGAAAACAGTGGCAAAGGAACTCGAGAATGATCTGGGTCTCTTCAAAGGTCACATGACTTCCCCTTCCACATTTAGGTTGTAGAGTAATAAGTTGTGCCTCTGATTTTCAGGCTCCACATCTCACTTTCACTAATCGTATCACCTATGTACGTCTGAGGTATTTGAAATATGGACTTGGACAATGACTTGCAGGGGTCTGTTCGAGTTAGTGTTTCGCTTCTACACAGCCAAGATTAGAAATTCTCAACGAGATAGCACCCGTGCTGGGAATAGACCACTTCGGCTGATCAGCCCAAAATTCAGCACCTCACCAGTCCTCTAGCAATCATTAAGGGTGACGTTGTCTCCTTCTTATAAATTTCTAAGAAGGCGCTCTGCCAGGATCGCTTGTGTCGTCAGCGCCAATGCTCGATTTTGGCCATACGACCCCACCCTCTCTGGCCGGGTGATATAGACAATATTGAACATAGGTCAGCCTGATCCGAACGGAGATGGGGAGGGGAGAGGTGTGCAAACTGCAGGAATACAGTAACGTTGCCAAAATTGTCAACAAAATGCCTAGTACATCCTGGTCAGTAACTCACAGATCTTCTGTGTTCGTAAGTTATAGCAATATTTCCCGTTCAAAAGTAAGAAAATACGACCTCCTTGATCTGACTCAGTCAAACGGACCGTGAATCCCGTCTGTAGTGACAATAATATGTACAGTTATAGTAGGATTGAGCTATGCCGGAGCCTCATGTGTGAGAAACCATCTTCAGGAACTTGATAATAAGGGCCCATTCAAATACTTCAGTGGTAGTCATTCGCTGTACCAGCGCTCTTCAGGCTTAAGCATACAAGTCTGAGCAGCATACGTACATACAGTTAATTAAAATTAATTAATGGTTAGTCTAGCAAAAGCTTACTAATGAAGGTATTTGAGTGAGCCTTCATTATTAATCTCCTGAAGAAAATGTTCTGTATAAAAGAAAACAGGCAACAGTTACCAGCGCTTGCAGAGCCTTGTTTCACTCTATCATGAACCAATTGTATCATACTAACAATAAGCCGAAATGCTCCGACCGAACAAAAGAACTATTCACTTGTTGCGTATTACCACTTCAATGTTTTTTTGTTTGTAGCATCCTTCATCACTTATATGCGTTATTGATCACAATATTTTTGCACCACGAAAACATCGATTGTTCTATAAAAGCCCAAACGGTAGGCAGAAAAGCACCATGCTTAAGCAGCTCACTTCAAAAAAGTTCTGAGCTCCTTTGATTAATCCCCAGAAGCTAGAGCAAAATTAATCGATGCTCTTATTCTCTTAAGAGCAACGTTATCGGTAATTCCGAGCACTTATCGCGATCTCGAGACAAGATCATATTGTTCCCTCACGGCGCTCGCATACCGTAATCCACGTTTGCGTCAGAGCGTAGCAGTCGCAAGCTTTTCAACGCACGACGCCAGTACTAGTGAGAGTAGCCAGCACAATCAACGACGCTACCACGGTTTTTCAGGGCAGCGATCCAAAAGTGGGAGCGGCGTCACACATTCGCCTCGCTGCGCAAGCGGCGAAGCGGACGCTGCGACATCCTTCGCGCGCGGGCAGAGGGAGGTATTTCCCAGGCCGCTTCACGTGAAGTAAAACCAGCACTCATACCATCCTCCACCTTTTACATTAACGACGCATAGGTTGGTTGGTGGGTTTGCTCTACGCATTCTCTCCTCGTTGAGATAGCGCGGAGAAAACGAAAACTGGGAGGCGAGCACGTATGGAAAATCGATTACACGAAACATTCGGGGCAAATTTGCGGGTGTGGTAGAGTGCCTGCTGTGTGTCTGCACCTGACATGGAACCTTACGGCGAGTTTTTCGCGTGTTGGGTTACGGTAAGTAAGCGCCGGAAGGGAACATTATAATCTACAGATCTCGAGCTGTTCCCGAAGCTGAAGTAATCAGAACGAGATACACGAACGATGGGTTCGGGGAGTGTGGGCAGTTCGGTGTGAACAAGGTAAAGGCGGAAAAACGTAGCGTAAGGTGAACAAGACAAGCAGAGGGAGAGAGACTGAGATTAAGGAAAGATAGCCAGTAGGATAAGACGTTAAGGGAGAAGCTGATTGTGTAGCGTAGAAACAGCCACAGGAATGCTGCACAGGTTGTAAGCAGAAATGGTGGGGAAAAGGAAAGAATGGAGAGGTGCAACAAAACAGCTCGACATGCAGAGGGGGAAAACAAGGTGGAAGTTAGGAACAATAAGCTCTTGGAGAGGAAAGGCATCGTACATGAGTACAGAAAACACATGAGCAGCACAGGGATTATTTCACGTTTTTTCCTTCCCCCCGAAACTAACCGACATGCAAGCAGACACCGTTGTGAGCAAGAAACGAAGTTTCTACGACGCTGAGAAAAAGTGGCGAATCCTACAGAATAACTTTTTAGGTGGTGAAAATACGTTTCAGGGAGAGTTTGAAGGTTTTATGGAAAGATTCAGACATTTTTGGAATTTTCATTAAATCCTAAGTAATCATTTATTGATTTCACGTGCAGTTGGTTAAAAATTATCTGAGAAAATATATTAGAACGGGTTCTGGTAGTTTCACAGAGTCTTTGCTGAAATTCGAATAGGTAACGCGCTTCCAAGTGATAGGTTCTCATCGAACACATTTTCCTTACACCTGCACAAGGAATAACACCGTCGGTTTTTTCGATTTCGATACTCTCTTTTGATAAATATATTGTACATGGATTGTCGCCCTTGCTTGTTCCTGAGCAGACTTTTCGTTACCAAGTGGAGCTAATTTGACGTTTCCAAGATAGAGCTTGAGCCTGTAAATTCGGTTCCCCTTGATCTTGCTTCAGAGGTTATCATGTTAACAAAACGTCTGTGTAGGAATGAAAACGCCTCTGGATAGAAACCACTTTTCGGTATGGGAACCTTTGGAGCTGGATACAGGGTACTCGGATCAAAAAAAAGTTACCGAAAAAAATTGTAGCGCATTCAGGGCGTTTCTTAAACAGTTTAGGATGACTGTGCAAATATCACAAAATAGCGTGTTCCATTGCGCTTTTCTTACTAATTCATTCAACTCGTTCTTCCTTCTTACTAACACGGTAGTTCTGCCTTGTCAACTCCCTCGATATTAATCCTTTTCCCTATACGAGACTCAACAATCATTCCAATATCACACAATTTTCTGCTCTCTAAGGACTCAACAATGGATAGCCGCACAACATTGTGAGCCAGCCTGAAGGCCTGAGCTATTAAGGCCAATGTCACAGTTTGCGAATCGAGCGATTCGCTAGCGAATCGCTGGATCCGAGCGTTACGCAAGCGTATCGAACGTTTCACCAGCGAATCGAACTTTGCCCCAGCGACTCAACACTGTTGGAAAGTGCTGTGACCCAAGGTTTAAAAGAAGGCCCGCCGTCAAACAGTGAGATCTTTCAGAGTGGACATCCTTTGAACGTTGGGTCCCGCCACTTTCATGCAGGATCAGAAACAAAAAAAAGTTCCCTAACTTCTCACCCCTACGTTATATGTGTGCTGCTGAATTGGACCAGCTCTTTAAGGAACGTTTTTGTCAAAATGATGGATGGACGTATACTACTGAAACGCAACGTATGTAAAGAGCAAATAATGGATGTAGTACTGCATCTATCCAAATGACATGCAGTATTTTCCGTTGTAGCAAATAAAGCAAACAGATAAAAAGGCTCACATGAGTGATATGAGTTAGACGGCAACAAATTATGAATCGATAGAAGTTCTCAGGTTACTTGGAAAGAAAACTGTATATCACATCACAGTAAACGTCAGATGCATTGAAAATCTCCGTATTTATACAAGCTAGCATGTGGCCGGTGACGAAATAGGGAATGAATCAATTGCAACTTTCGCTTCTAGGAGAGCAAATGGAGGAAATTCAAGTACGAGCATCCTGCGAGCTCTCCGATTTAACTAACATCATTTTTTTTTACTCCCCCGGCGAGAAGCTGATGGTGAGGGGCATAAAGAAGTGAAATGAAAAATGTTGCCAAAAATTGAAGACAGCCTTCAAGCAAATCTGTAATACAGTGTGTACTAGTTGCGGTATATTTTTAAAATAGGTTTCAATAGGTCTCGTCCTAGCTTGCCCTCCTACTCGTTTTATTCGATTATGAACTTAGATCCACCTTTTGCCTGTTCATTTTCTTTAGTCCCTCCCCTATATTAAATATTGAGAATCCGGCTTTTTTGCCCCCCACTTAGTTAGTATTCCCTAAGATCTTTTTTTTCATCACTAAACTAGGTCAAGGGCCATCAACTCCTTTCTATCGATGCGTCCCAAGGGTTGATAGGAGTGAGTGGCGGACCCTCAACCGTTAATGACAACTATCATATGCGACTCATATTGTTTTTCCTTACTTGTCGAGTATCTAAAATTGGTCTCTCCCTTGGGTTGATGCAAAAAAAGCGGGTCTACTAGAAAGAAATTTTCTGAGATGCTGTATGACAGTTTTCTTGGGCACAAACACTAGTTTCAGATCGTTTTTGGGTCATTCCCAATTCACAATAGCTGCGGGCTACAATTATATGTCGCTGTCATCTCGGAATGACGATTACCTTCTGTAACAATATGAATTATGCGAATCTTCTTCACGCGTAGACATTTCGCTGTTTCACGTTTGGAACCAGGTTGACATCCATCCAGTTAGTTCGTTTTTGGTCTTTCATCCAGAGTTCGATGATTGTGGTTAAAGTGAATTTGATTAACGATCTTTCAGTTAGAGTCATGCGTTGTTTGCTGATACTGTGCATGCTCTCCTGCGTAACCTTGTGCTTCATGAACTTCCCGATAGAAATTAGTAAATGCAAAAAAGGTCAATGGTTTGTGAGGAACTACATTGTGTTCAACTGTTTCAGTGATAACGCTCAAAACGAGCTGAGACCATTTGGTAAGCGGGTACTTTTCTGGGCTCGGATCCAACGTAAAATTATAAACAAAATTTTCAGCATGCGATCCAACTAATGGTGTAGCAATAAAGAGGCGCAAGCGACCGGTATTTCTTCACGAAACCTATCACGGTGATGGATTCATTTATGAATGTGCTCGCGACAATCATACGAATGGAGTTGTCTGGAGAGCTGCTGGTAGGTTATACATAGAGTAATTCACCAAAACTTCAGGATGCTACTTTCATATCCCAGTAATTTCGAGATCCGATCTGCAAGCACAATAAGGTTACCACTGTTTTGGGGTCTTAATTGTATCCTTACAGAAGAACACGCCTCACACCCTTGAACGATTTTCACTCGGAGGCAGGGTCAATCGTCCCTTGTTGCAATATCATAGATTTGGACGACCTCCCTTACCAGCAACAGCCTTAAGAGAGTCCTACAAATGCAATCCCCCCTCACCCTCGATCACTACCCTCATCATCTTGGCTGTGGGGGAGGAGGGAATGAAAGTGTTTAATGAAGCGGCAAATCCCCTAATGTGACCATGATTACCTTCTCAAATTTACATCAGAATTTGAAAAAAAAACGTCTAAAACGACTCCCTTCTGCCGTTACCTTGACCCTTTCCAGAAATACCCACCTTTTCGACCTTTTGGCATTCAACGGACGCCCCCCCCCCGTCCCTCGTTGGGAACTGCGTGACGCACGGTCGATCACCCTCCAAGGGCATAGCATACAGCAACTTCAATATACACATAATCTTCAGAGTTTCTGCAAAAAAACCTTATCGAATCAAATAGCCTTGTGAGGTATGCTAGAACATTCCGTCTCGCTTACGTACCTTGACAAGTCAACAGTGCTAATCGAAACAATTAGGCAAATCCGAAGGAAGCGCAACTCGAAGAAGTTTTGCGCAAGCTTTAAAGGTTAACACATGCCAAGAAAATATACTTATAATTTTCCAGCGTGTTATATCAATGGTGAGAAGTTCGCTCCAGGAACATTTGTGAAAGGGCGATACGACTCCGTTTATCTGTGTTACAAAGATCTTGATGGCCTTATACGGATACGCATGAGAAAACGTAAGTTGTGTCAGCTTTAAAGGCAAGATTCAGGATTAAATTATGAGGTAATTCCACTCAAATGTGAAAGTAGGGGTAGGAAGTGGACCGCCAGTGGAGAAAAAAGAAAAAAATAAAATACATGAGAATCATGACCTTTTGCTCTACACTGCGGAGAAGTTCAAAAGGCCGGCAGGGAGATGAGGGATAGTGTAGAGATCGGAAGTCTGTGGAGAGCGCTAGAGAAGTGCGAGTTGAGAGAGCATGGCAGATCAAGTTAGCGACGCAGACAAGATATCGAGCGGTGGGCGGAGCGTGTCTCAACAGGTGGAGCGTGTCGAAGCTCTTAGCGCATAGTGTCTAAATAACGCTTTTTGAAGTATGAAAGTGACGCAGCCTCTGTACCTTCGTACCTAGCGCTTCTAGCCACTGTAAAGGTTCATTGAGTGGGTATGAGCTTGAAATTTGCCTTTAAGTATTTGCACTCCCTTTATCGTGCTTCATTGAACCAACTTGAACTTACTCCACCTCTTCTCATCCTACCTTGTAAAAATACGAAGCACAACGGATTACTTGGAGATTGATTGTCCCTTTGCAATGAACTGTTCAAGATCTCGAGGAGTTACAAAAGTAGTTTCAGCTGGGGTCCTCTATCTTGCCTCTGACGTCATACATATATTTGAAGAAAACGTGCTTGTTGCGTAGTATTACCTGCCTTGAAGACGGTGGCTACGATAATTTGACATTCATCGAATATGCAAACAGTTGTGCCAAATAAGGCGGAAAATTAAAGAAAATGAAAGGCGTTAGAAGTGATCGGAGAGCCCTTATTCCTTTCGTTGACTTTGGACGTATTGATGGATAAGATATTGTTTGGGTAAGAGTGTCCAATGAAATACAACATAGGATAGGATCAAAAAATGCAGCAGCTTGGGTCGGAATGAACTGTAAAATGAAAGTCGGAGATCATCATAACGGTATTGCAAAACAACACTTAATGCAAAACGCTTTTGGGGTGGTGCGATTTCCTGTTTGGAGCGCCTGGCTCGGGGTTTCACGGATGCACATATGAAGAATTGTGACCGTCAGTCCTGCCGTTGCATTGGTGTTTGCTGTTACCTGTTACAGATCCAGTTTATCATACCACGCCTTTGGGGTTCGCGTCACAGATCTGCGGATTCTGCGCGGGCACGATTAGCACGCCTCCATCAGGTCGCGCTTCTACGAAGTACTGAGGAGGGGGTATTTGGTGCTCCTACACATCGGAGCTCTGAACCTGCCACGACTGAACGTAAAAGTCGCCTTCAAAGAATTGAGGATCAGGTGGCCAAAAGCGTCATGCGATGACAGACGGAAGAATCAGGCTTCTTACCAATCGAATTTCTCAGGACACCAACAGCAGCACGATAGCGAGAGTTATGGTAGCAGCTCTTCACGAATCCCTACAGGTGATGAGCCAATTGATAGGTCTCCCCGAACCGGAGGGTACACCTAGGTGCGCTTTGCTAATAGAGATGTTGGCGCAGGCTCAAGGAATTCTTTGAGTACGGGATGCTACACAAATAGATAAAGTTCTAACAACAACAACTTCTACTCCTATTAGCAGGCTGATGAACCGAATATTCATAGAGGAACTATAGCCAGAATTACCATATACTTGGGACGAGCTAATTATTTCGCTTTCATCAGTGAACGTACGGCCTTCTTAACAGAGAGGGGATAAGAACACCTGCGCCTCGTCTGAGATATCGCAGCATTTGCTTCAAGTTCGATGGTTGCGTACGACGTTCACTTCACATCATTTCACTTCAAATCGTTTGTAAGTACGGAACAGTTCGACTTTTATGCGATAATAAATACCTTACAAAACACAAATTGTCGAAATCGGCTAGATTTCAGTTTAATGTTCATTCGGCTGTGCACGATGCTATTAGAGCCTAGATACGAAATTTTGAGTGAAATAATTCGACGTCCCAAGCTGCAAGTAGTGATCTGCTCCTCCCAGTCCTTCCACTAGTCCAGTCTCAACACTTTCATAATAAAAAAAAACCTTTGAGCATTTTTCAGCTTTCCATGATCATTGCATTGCTGGCAGAGGAGATCCTAACTGTCAACAAGGAGTGCTTCAGGTAATACATTCACGATCAAAGGAAAGCTATAAAGCATTCACGTATTCGGTCCCTTTTAGGGTGCGCTACGCATCCTGCTTCCATTTAGAACCGTAGTGGATAGTTGAAAACGATTAGGCGTTTAGAATGATTTCAGGGGCGGAGCAAGTACGAGTTCGTGCTATTCTTCAGACAAATCTGGCAGCATTTATTCGACCTTGTAGGCAAATGTTTGATTATGTGGCGTTGTTAGATCTAGGATCTGATTCTTGATCGTGCGCATGGTGAATAGCAGCACTTGCTACACCACTTCCCTTCTTTCATGACATGACATTTAAAAAATAATTTTTGGATTCACTCACTTCGACTAGGATCTACTGGCGTTGCAAGTGAAGTATTGGCGTTGATGCTGCAAGCGAATGCAAGAGTTCAAGCGGGCAGGGCAGGGTATCCGACAGAAGACCCCCGCGCGACGAGAAGTCAGAGAAGCAGACGGGTCAGTTGACGAGTTCCAGCGTGTACTGTGGGACGTAATATAGTACATTGTTTCTGAATTGATGCCATATCGTTGCAGTACGCTGTGCTAGTCGTCACTGGCCCGCTTGCGTCGTCGGTTACCACCCTGAGCATTCACGGGTACCCCCAGGAGCGCGCGTCAAGAAGGCAAAGTCAGCGGACGAGTCGCGCGCGTACTATAGGGATTTCGCGTCAAGGTAAATAGAGTGTCCCATTGCACGTCCTACATCGCGCACCACGCGCTGCAACTCGTCTCTGCAACTCGTCTGCTGGCTCTGCCTTCTTGCCGCGCGACGGGCCTCCTGGGGGTACCCTTCACGTGCACTTTGACGACCCTAGACATAAGCCGGATTGGAGATATATTTCGGTACTGTCAAAATGACGTCAAAAATTGCCAATATTCAGTTGGAACCTTATTAATCGCATACTGGGTTCTAAGAAAAATTCTTTCCGTTTTCGATACATCAAGTTTTAATGGATTAGTTTTGAAAAAACCTCGGCGGACTGCTACCTTTTGCACACCATCAAAAAGCGCATTTTTTGCACTATTCAACGATATTTTCAGCTTTGCTCAAGAAATGAGCGTACCCACTTTTCAAAGCCTTGAGTAGAACATGCTCACTTGTGAGGGATGGCCAGAGCTTCAAAGTGGTGAGGGTCCTCGTAGTATAACGTGCTTTCGCAAAACGCCAAAGAGTGTTTAGACGCCGGTACTAAATTAGATGCGATTGATTTGAGGTTCCTGGTCACACGAGGTGTGCTGAAAAATCCAACAACTTCTATAAGAGGGTGCCTCAAAAAATCGCAGCCTTCTCCTTCTCTACTTTCTTCCATCCAATGAAAATGGCCCATGGCCGGGTGGGTTGTGGCGATCGACGAAGATGAACCATTGCAACAACATTTGAACTTTGGTAAGGTAGTTTGGTTACGGCTGAGATCAACAAAACTTCGTAAAGTGTGCAGCCTAAACACAGACATACTCTCTGAGCCCTGGCAGAACAATCATAGTGGAGTAGTATCCTTAGCACACTGGCGTCGAAATACCACATAATCTTGACCCATGTGCACAGGGCAGCCATAAATGGGCCGACCTTCCCCGCGATCTACACCACTAGTCAACCGCAGAACCGACTCTGCAAAAAATGAACTAGTGGCGGGGGGATTCTAAACTACATCATGAACGTCGCCTTAATCACTAGAACTCTTACCAGTTTACTGTCACTTGTCTGGATAGTCTCTTCGAAGAGAACTGCTGCGAAGCATAACTGATGGTAACGACCTTCACCGTGTCCAGCGCCTGTCGAACTTCCAAGCTTTCTGTAATGGCTTTCATCACGAAATGAAAAAAAGAGGTACAATTCGGGCCCGAAGTGAAGGAGAAAAGGGCAAAACAGGCAAAACGTTGATATAAAGGCCTCGCCCTTGGATTGCTGCCGTGTTTACGAGACAGATAGAGAGGAGAGAATGCAGTCGACGAGCAAAAGCGCAACTCAGTTGAGTTGACCGTGGGGTACCAGCAGCTCAGACAATGCCCTTATGCATTTTGTGAGCGCATTCCAGTTGCGAAAGCAAGACCTGCACTTGCGGACTTTGCTGGCTCCATAGAAAAGCTCACCGGCAGCGCGGACGAGTTCGCGTGTTGTTGAAGTGATCTTGACGCCAGAGCGGCCATGAAGGATTAAGTAAATTCCAGCGGTGCCCTTAATAGTTCGATACATTAACACGTTGACGACATTGCGTTTTTTAGCATTTCGCACCGCGTGGGACAGGAGCGTTGCTAAATCAAAGTATATTTGACCACTCTGGATGATATGTGGTTTATAGTTATGCTAATGTGTTATCTATGAAGAATGCAAAAAACTCGAGAAGAAGGATAGCAAACATAATATGAATGAATGACATACACTGCGTCCCATAATTATAACTCCACCCAAGAATTTCCCAAAATCTCTCAAATCTAGATGATTTAGAAAAGTCTCCAATGTGGCAGTGTGTCAAATACAAATACGAAATTCCTTGGCATCATCTTCCAGCTTGAGATCCCAGGAATTTTTTCTAAAAATTTTTGTTCAAAAGGCCACTTGGTCAATGTCCCAAAATTATAACTCCACCTTATGTTTTTCTATTATTTTTCACTTCCGTTTCGCCAAACTTTTTTAATGTGCTAACATCCTACTTCTCAAGGGGACAGTATGATAGAAAATGCTGTCTGACTTTTTAAAGGATCAGTCGTCGCAAAAACTACTAATTGGGCAATCGCACAAGATTTTGACCAAATTTACGAGGATCTCGATAAATTTTTCAGGAATTTTACATGCTGTGGAGTTGAAGAAAGCTCCAAAGGATCTCCGCTTGCTTTTCGGTAGAAACAAAGGCCGTGTCACAGAAGAAACATC